AGGCACGGAGCTACTTAGTTGGTGAAGATCACACTGGAGATCAGTGTGTCAAAGATGGGGTTTGAGGCTTGCACATATAGCCTAGTCCAGTGTCCTTGCTCTGATGGACAACGCCAAAAGGTGTGTGTGCATCCTGTGAGGGGAGACTGCCTCGAGAAGGGTGCGGTGAGCCAAGAGGCTTGCTTTGTCCCCAGCTTTTCCACAGGCTCCCTCTGGGACACTTCTTTAGTCCCTTCCCCCGTTTGTGTCTCCTTCCTGACTCCAAACGGCAGCTCTGGGAGGACCCGTGGGAGCGTGGAGCTGTGTTCATGCCTCCGAGGCAGCTGGCGTGTGAGTGGCTGGGAAACAGCCATCTGCACTCGCCTAGGGGTAAAGGGCACCAGGGCAAGGGGTGGGGGTTGCTCGCTGCAGGCTGAGGCGGTGCAGGGAGGTGCCCAGTGTTGCCTGTGCCTCCTCAGCACCCCGAGGCGTGCGCCGGGTCCCCGTGTTTGCGTGGGCTCAGCCCAGCCTCTGTCCCTGGACACATCCTACCCTTAACCTTGCCCCTTGCCCCCTTCCAGTCCACCCTGCCGTACTACACCTGGCAGGAGGTGCAGGCCCGCATCGTGCAGATCCAGAAGGAGCACCAGATCTGCATCCACAAGAAGGAGCTGACGGAGCTGGACATCTACCACCGCATCCTCCGCTTCAAGAACTACATGGTGGCCATGGTGAACAAGTCGCTGCTGCCCATCCGCTTCCGCCTGCCCCTGCTGGGAGACACCGTTTTCTACACACGTGGGCTCAAGTACAACTTCGAGCTCATCTTCTTCTGGGGGCCCGGCTCCCTCTTTGAGAACGAGTGGAGCCTGAAGGCTGAGTACAAGCGGGCCGGGAACCGCCTGGAGCTTGCTGAGAAGCTCAGCACTCGCATCCTCTGGATTGGCATTGCTAACTTCCTCCTCTGCCCCCTCATCCTCATCTGGCAGATCCTCTATGCCTTCTTCAGCTACACGGAGATCCTGAAGCGGGAGCCGGGCAGCCTGGGTGCCCGGTGCTGGTCTCTCTACGGCCGCTGTTACCTCCGTCACTTCAACGAGCTGGACCACGAACTGCACTCACGCCTCAGCAAGGGGTACAAGCCAGCTTCCAAGTACATGAACTGCTTTATCTCCCCGCTCCTCACCATCGTGGCCAAGAACGTGGCCTTCTTTGCTGGCTCCATCCTGGCTGTGCTCATCGCTCTCACCATCTATGATGAGGACGTGCTGGCAGTTGAGCACGTCCTGACCACGGTCACCCTGCTCGGGGTGGGCATCACGGTGTGCAGGTGAGGTGGGGCCGTGCTGCCGCTGTGCTCCTGGCGGCTCTGTGGGGAGCAGTGGGGCCGACGACCACCCACGCAAACGTGCTCTTTGGTTGCAAGTGGACGAGAATCTGCCCGAGCGAAGGGCACGGCTGGAGAGGGTCATGGGCAGGCAGGAGAAGCGGGCAGTGGTGATCTTGGGGGCAGTGGTGTTCTTGGGGGCTGTGGTTGTATGATAGAAGGACTTGACTGGCTTGAAGGTTTGGCTTGGGCGTGGAGGCTACAGGTGGAGCTGTGATACAGGCAGGTCACCCTGCCCTCCCAGGAACTGAGGCGTGATGCTGTGACGTTTCCCTGTCCTGTCCTACAGGTCTTTCATCCCTGACCAGCACCTGGTGTTTTGCCCAGAGCAGCTGCTGCGAGTCATCCTGGCGCACATCCACTACATGCCTGACCACTGGCAGGGCAATGCCCACCGCTACGAGACCCGGGATGAGTTTGCCCAGCTGTTCCAGTACAAAGCGGTGAGCTTGGCTTGCACCGGGCCGGGCTGGGGACTTACCCCCACCCCTGCAGGAGGGAGAAGCTGCCAGAGAGCTGAGCAGCTCCTAGGCTGGCAAGACGAAAAAGGCAGCTTTCTCGGAGACACCCTGCCCCAGAAGATGGAGGGGGCTGGAGCTGGGGGTTGGCTTTGCGATTGTGGGGTTTTTGACATCTTCAAGCTTGTGCTGAGCCCACCATCTCTGTGCTCAGGTCTTCATCCTGGAGGAGCTCCTGAGTCCCATCATTACCCCCCTGATCCTCATCGTCTGCCTGCGGCCCAAGTCCTTGGACATCGTTGACTTCTTCCGCAACTTCACTGTGGAGGTGGTGGGCGTGGGCGACACCTGCTCCTTCGCTCAGATGGACGTGCGCCAGCACGGCCACCCGGCGGTAGGTCCCGTGGGTGGCAGGAGAGCCCCCTGGGCTCCCCACCACCTTGTCTGATCCTTTAGACCCGTGGAAGGCCATAACTCACCACTCTTGGCAGCCCGCAGCCCAGCCACCTGCCTCTCTGCTGAGTGTCTGGGTCTGCCAACGCAGGTCACCAGCCCCAGAAGGCTCTTGTGGCCCAGCTGTGATTATTAACCTGGTGTTTTGTGAGCCAGGCTATGGTATTTCTTTGTTTGATGTCATTGTCTGTCTTCACAACCAAAAGTCCCGTGTCCTCAGGAGAGAGGAATGAGGATATTTGGACATTTAGAAAGTGTGACCACTGAGAACTGGCTTAAAGAAGCTGGGCTGCTTGTGCCCAGGGGAGAGGCAGCCTCGGGGAGATGAGAAGCATTTTCCATTATGTAAAATCTAGTGCGGAGGGAAAGGGGATCCATCTGTTTCCTGTGCCTGGGAATTTAGGTTACTTGTCAGGAAAGACTCCCTAGTGACAGGGCCACGAACTAGGGAGGGGGTGGACGCACTGTGGCAGGAAGCTTTTAAGAACAGCCATTTGTTGGCTGTAGTCGCTCCCCTGCTGCGAGCTGGAGAGTGCAAGGCGAGGCTTTCGGCACTGTGTTTTGTGACTAGTCCCTGTCCCTCCGGTTCCCTTGTGGCGGTGTGTGTTCTCAGGTGGAAGTGGAAGACACTCTGTTTCCTGCCTCTTCCCCAGGCTGTGAGGGCTGAACTAGTACGGGGCTTTTGGTGAAGTGCCTGCAACATGTGGAGCCGTGGCCCAGCCTGTGCTGGGTGTTGCGTGCTTTGCCCAGCCCGACTGCAGGATTCCCAGGCCTGGCAGGGGTGTAAAGCAGATCCTGTCCCTCATTACGTGTCTGTGCTCCGCAGTGGATGTCAGCAGG